AACTTGGTCCCAAGTTGTTGGGGTCTGGCCAAATGCACAAGCAGCAATTTTGGGGTATCAGGAAGCCTGAGGGCACCTTCAGGCTGCTGATGCACTCACCCTGCAGGTACAGGTTGACCTGCTGGCGGCACCATACCTATGATTTTTTTTTTTAAATGTTTATGCTATCTTTTTCTATGGCCAAAGTCTGTCTATATTTGGTTATATTTACTGGTGACTCTGGTTCATTGGCCAGCTCAATGCTTGGATGTTCCAGCATATTCAGGGCACTATGTAGTGCTGAAAATTGAGCCTAGATTTCTAGCAACCAAAACATGCACTCCAGTCCTTTGAGCAATTTGGCCCCCCACACTTTCATTTATATATATATATATATATATATATATATATATATATCTTTTTATGTTATCTATTCTTTTATGTGGATTTGACTTATTTCCTAATGTTTCAATTTCATTTTAGTGTTCTATTTAAGGGTTTGCATCCCAAGTAGTACTGGGGACCACCAGGGCTACCTTCAGGTCCTCCGAGGGCAGGCAGAGCTGGGGATTGAACCTCAGGATATACTCATGTCAGGCATGTATTCCAGTATTTTGAGATTTACCACTGGCCCTTTCTAAATATTGAAAGATTTTTTTCCTGAATGTAGATTTCCTAGTTGACACTCACCCCCGCACCTCCACAACCCCAAGAAGTTTAAACATGTAATTCCACTGTTTTATGTTGCTATATAAAACCTTTTGGGGGAACTTCTCAAGCAGTGCACAGGAGACTTGGGGGCCTCCTCCAGGACAATTATTGGCCAAACAGGCTGGTGGTTCACTGTGAAGGATTGAGGATGCAGTGCTGCTTGGGCCTTGAAGTAGTGGTGGTAGTGTTGGTGTTGGTGGTCAACTTTGGCTGTATAAAAATTGAATATATCTAAGGGGTGGGTTTCTTTTAGTTTAATCATTCTTGGGAGTTTGTTAAACTTCCTGAATGTATAGGTTAAAAGTTTTTCATAAAATTTGGGCTGGAGTGATAGCACAGTGGGTAGGGCATTTGCCTTGCACGCAGCCAACACGGCAGACCCAAGTTCGATTCCTCCACCCCTCTCGGAGAGCCCAGCAAGGTACCGAGAGTATCTTGCCCACACGGCAAAGCCTGGCAAGCTACCCATGACACATTCGATATGCCAAACACAGTAAAGTCTCACAATGTTACTGGGCCCGCTTGAGCAAATCGATGAACAACGGGAGGATAGTGATAGTAATAAAATTTGGAAAGTTTTGTTATTTCTTTAGATATATCTTTCCCTCTTCCTCCTCTCCTACTAGGACTCCCATTAAGTCACACAGGCCGTCGAGGTTTTATTCATGTCTCTTTCCTGGATAATCATAAGTGTAATCAAATTTGATGATTTTTCACTTGCTAAAATCTCCAGGTGAATCCATTAATGAAAATTTCACTTTATATTACACTTTCCAATTCCACATTTTTGAGTGTGTGGGGATGGGTGGGCATCAGCACACCCAGTGGTATTCAGGGTTTATTCCTGACTCTGTGCTCAGAGATACTGGTAGCATTTAGGTTACCATGTGTAGTATAGAAATAGAACTGGCATTAGGTTATCACATGTGGTGTCAGGAATAGAACCCAAGTTAGCCTCATGCAAGATAAGTGTCCTTCACACTTCTTTCCAGTTCCTACCAAAATAATTTTTATCTCTTTATTGGAATGATTTATATGGGTAAATATTAATATCATACTTTTATAGCACAGCGGTAGGGTATTCGCCTTACAAGCGGCCAACATGGCCGATCCGAGTTCGATTCCTCTGCCCCTCTTGGAGAGCCCGGCAAGCTACCGAGAGTATTCGATATGCCAAACACAGTAACAACAAAGTCTCCAATGGAGACGTTACTGGGCCCGCTCGAGCAAATCGACGATCAATGGGAAGGCCTTTACCTTTACCTTTATACTTTCTTCTGGTTCTCTAGATATAGTTTAGTTTTGTAAACCTAAAATATCTTAAAGTCTTTATCTAGTAATTCCAACATATGGACTTTTTTCAGATAATTTCTGATTCCCCCTCTTTACAGAGGTTCACACATCAAATTTGTACATGTCATACATAAGATATTTTTATTCTGAAAACTGGACATCTTGAATAATAAAATATAATAATGAAAACCAGATTCTACATGCTCCTCAGGGTTTTCAATTGTTTCTGCTTATTGTAGTAGTTGTTGATTGAATAATGTTTTCAATTTTTTTTTTAGCAAATAGTTTTCTTTTTTTTTCATTTTTTTATTATTATTTTTAGTGAAACACCATGAGGTAGAGTTGTAGATTTACAATTTTTTGTGCTTGGGTTTCAATTATACAATGATCAAATACCCATCCCTCCACCAGTGCCCATTTTCCACCACCATGGATAATATCCCTCCCACCCCCATCCCTCCCATCTCACCCTGCCTCTGTGGCAGGGCAATCCCCTGTGTTCTCTCTCTCCTTTTGGGTGTTGTGGTCTGCAAAAGAGGCATTGAGTGGCAAACATGTTCAGTCCATAGTCTATTTTCAACATGCATCTCCCCTCCTGGGAGTATCCTCCAAACACCCTTTATTTGGTGCTCCCTTCTCTGTCTGAGCTGCCCTTTCCCCTAGAATGCCGACTGGCCTCTAAGCTATGGAGTAATCCTCCTGGTGTTGATCTCAGCTATTCTTGGGTATTAATCTTATATTTTGTTTCTTTATATTCCCCAGATGAATGCAATCTTTCTATGTCTATCCCTCTCTTTCTGACTCATTTCGCTTAGCATGATACTTTCCATGTTGTACCACTTGTATATAAATTTCATGACTTCATCTTTTCTAACAGCTACATAGTACTCCATTGTGTAGATGTACCAAAGTTTCTTTAACCAGTCATCTGTTCTTGGGCATTCAGGTTTCTTCCAGTTTCTGGCTATTGTAAAGAGTGCTGCAATGAACAAACAAGTGCAGATATCACTTCGACTATACATTTTTGCCTCTCTGGGATATATTCCCAGGAGTGGTATTGCTGGGTCAAATGGGAGCTCAATTTCTATCAAATTTTTTTCTTAATGTCTGCATCCTTTGTTATGTGTTCCCACTGAAATCACTGATCAATCAGTTTAGTGGTCACCTGATGACTGGAAAGAGATTTTCTTAATAACCCTCAATAAGTAAATCTCAATCAATAAATAAGTCTTTGATGAGGGGCTTATACATTCCATACAAAAGGAGTTTGTAATTTTAACTTTAGTCATCACTTTTTGCTTGACTATACAAAAAGTTTGGGGTGTTCCTGGGTCTTTCCTGAGCATTCACACAGCCCTAACTAAGCATAGAAACCTAAGCATGCACAGTAATTTTTAGATTCCCTGGAATATATCAGGTTTTCAGTGTCCCTTTGAACCTTTTCTCCAGAGAAATGTTTCACTCTGGCTGCAGAGGAAATGCTCCGAACAAGTTGAAAATTATTTTGAATTTTGTACATTGAACTTTTTGTGGCATAGGGAGCCATAATTAAATTTTAAGTGAAGGGGCATGACAATCTTTTAATAGATAGCAGAAAAAAAAACTTTGCTAGTGGATGGAGGTTAGATCAACCAAGTGGAAGCAGTGAGATCAAGGAAATCACTGAGCATTTCATGAAGAAATGTGATGAAGACTGGAAGGAGAATAGAAAAAGAGCAGTTGTGGAGTAGAAATGTTATTTTACAGATTAGGCACATCAGAGTTTCTAGTATGACTAAGGGGTCATTAGAAATAGGAATTAGGGTAACATGGTTGGTTTTGTGGTGGGGAAACCCACAAAAGAAAGAATGGGGCACACCCAACAGTGCTCTGGTGGTATACACAGAGGAACTATGTGGTGCTGGGGACTCAAGAGTATGACACCTGCTAGGCAAAATTAAAAAAAAAAAAGGAGAGGCAAGTTTGGCAAAAAGTGAAGTGAATCCTAGTACAATAAATATTATCTGTGGGCACAGAGCACAGTGGATAAAGTGCTTGCCTTGCATGCTCCTGATTCGGGTTCCTCAACACCCCAAGTCCCACTTTGAACTCGGAGGCAAGAGTAAGCCCTGAGCACATTCGGTGAGGGCAAAATCCCCTCCCTGCTCCAACTACCTTTGATTAAAAATACCATAGGTAGTTTTCAGAGGTTCTACCCTCCTGCCCCCCTTTTTGGTAACCGAGTCAAAAATTTGGATTCAAATACTGTAATCTCTTGTCCATTCAGTAGACTCATCACGATGTGTTTTGATTTAGGAATGCACTGAAGATGCTGTTTGGATTAGACAAAGAGGCAACTTGCCCCAAACCGAGGATTCTACTAAAGTGGAAATAAATTTGTCATTTCTTGGACCGTTATTATGCTCTTTGAGAGCCGAGCAAGGAGCATGATAATATAAATAAATAAAACGTTGTTGGTGCCAATGACATTTAGAAACGTCAGTAAATGATTCCGTTAAGACGTGCCAGTTAAACTGAGTTTAAATAGGTGATCTTTAGCGTTTGGGAAGGGTTGATTTTTCCTAAAATCCAACCCCGCAGACAGGTAATGAAAGTGATTTCGAGCGCACTCCGGAGAAGCAGGTCTGTCTCTTTTCGTACTCCTTCCATTTTGCTTCTCAGACGACCAACTTAAGTTCAGTCCAAGCGACTCTTTTAGTTTCTGAGGAGGGCCGCGGTGAACTCCAGATGGAGAATCTGGCCCTGAGCTGAGGAGGCCGCAGCCAGAGTCGTTCCCGGCCGCTGCATAGCGCGGCGGCGGGAGGCAGCCAAGCAGGAGGTCGGAGGGGCGGGCCTTGTCCCGGCGCGAACTTCCGCCCCAGCTCCGCCCCGCGGCGAGGGAACTCGGGCGGCTCGCGCCGTCGGTCCGGTCCGCTCCGCCGGGGACGCCCGCCGCCTCCCGAGTCGTCTCTCCCAATTGGCCGTCGGGGGAACGGAAGCCGAGGCAGAACTGCGAACCCGGAAGTGCTTCGCGGCGGAAGCCCGGGCGACTCTTTTGAATGGAATCGGGCTGATTCATCGCCGGTTCGCGGAGCCTGAACCCGGCCGAGTCCGAGTCGCTGCCGCCGCCGCCACCGCGTCATCGCAGCTGGGAGACAGGGGTTCAGGTCGTGGCTTCCTGCTCCCGTCCTCCTCCAGGTAAGGCGGAGGAGGCAGGTCCCGGAGGTCTGCGGAGGTCTAGCCGCGCTAGGCCGCCGCCCGCCCCGTGCTTTCCTGAGTCACGTTGCCCGGCTAAGTCGCCACTGGAGGGCCGGGGCCCTTTCTGAAAGGAAGAGCCCGGGCTCCTTCGTCCTGCTCGCGGGCTGTCCGGCTTTCTGGGAGAATTGGGACTGGACGTGCCCTCCTTGCTGCCGGCGTTTCTGCTGAGCTGAATCCTTTACGTCTGGGGCATCGCTCCTTCCTAAACCGGGCCGGTCCGTGTTGATGGGCCTCTGTGTCCGTGCCTTCTCGTTGGAGAATTTCAAAGCCCAAGGAAGCCAGGCGGACAGAATAATATTGACTTTCCCCTTGGCGTGCCTGTTTGCTCTGTCACTACCCTTTCCCAAAGACTAGGCCGTGACGCTTTTATCTTGGTGTTGGGTTTTCACCCTTTTCAAAACCAAACAACCCCTCTCCTCCCCCACCGTGCACTTTGTTTTTAACCTTGAGCATCTTCAAGAAAGTGTTTACTCCTGCCATGCCTTTTAACTTCATCTTCCATTTGTCCTGGTTGAGTTGTTGCTGGTGAATTCATTGGCTTGTTTTATGCTATTAAGTCGCAGGCAGCTTCTGTGTGTTACCTTATGGGATTTAATGTGCTCGGGACTTTACTTCCTGTCAGTCAGAAAGTGTAAACTTTTCCGAAGAGTTTGAGTATAAATCTGGTGACCTAATGACGAGTTGTTGAAATTCTCATGGTAAACCAAATTTTTTTCCTGGGAGTAGGGGAATAAAACTTACAACTTCAATGTTTGAAGGGTGAACATTTTTTTTTCACTTACCCAGAAAGTGAGTTTTTAATTTTTTTTAATTGCTGCTGGCTTAGTGATGTTACTTGATAATGTTTAGCAAGCAGAAATAACCAAATACAATTTTAATAGAAATGATAAAACATAATGGTGGTGTTCTTGTTTTGTCATTTAAAATTTTGTGTGCCAGGGATGTTATTCAAAGGACTGGAGTACACCTTGGCGTATAAAGGGCCCTGGTTTCTATTCCTAAGTAGTGGACTTTAGCTCTGGTGGTCCCCAACAGTGTCGGCGAGCCCTACCTGTATTTTAAATTGTATAGATTGTTGTACATATAAATGGATTAAGAAATAGATGACTCAAGAATTAAAATATTAGGTATTATTTAGTGAAAAGCACGAATTTGTCCTAGAACAGAAATTATATAAACTAACAAAGTTTTGTTGTCATTATCTTTTACCTGTTGAGTGTGGACTACTATTTCCTTCCCATTTCCTACTCCCCACCTGTGGTGCTTGGTGAATATGAATAAAGTACATGGCTGTTACAAGTTACAACTCTGCTGTTGTTCTGGGACCAAGTATTGCTGGCGATGAATTGAGAGCCAATCATTGACCAGACACAGGTTCTGCCACCTGTGAGGCTTGACTTCCCTGTTCATCACACATCCTGTAAATTTCTGTTTAGTCCTTGGGTTCAGTACCCATATATGAAAATTGGTATCACTAATTTCATTTGTGAGGCTGGAGCTATAATACAGCAAATTGTGTATTTGCCTTGCACACAACTGACCCAGGTTAGATCCCTGACATCTCATAGGGTCCCCCAAACACCACCAGGAGTGATTCCTGAGTGCAGAGGCAGAAGTAACCCCTGAACATCACCTGGTGCAACCCAAAAAGAAAAAAAAAAATAATTGGTTTTCAGTTTTGTTGCCATCTTTTTATATTTCACTTAGAAAAGCTTCACCTGGATACTCATGATTTCTTACAAATTATAAACATTGCGATTTGTATTTGTTTTGAAATTTCTTCTTTATCATACTTCAATATCTTATGTGAAATGATAATTGGATTATACTTTCATTTAACTCTTAAGACAATAGTAATAGTAACAGTTACCAAGTACCTATGAGTGTTTCAGGCACTATAGTGCTTTGTATTTATTCGTAGAACAGAATGATAAGGCCTGTATTGTTCCCGTCTTATAGATGAGGTCTAGAGTATGAGTAGGTGATGAATCCAGGATTCAGATCTAGGTCTAATCAGCCCCTCTCTGGCTCTACACTGGTATTCTTTCCTTTTGTGTTTTTCATGGGCTTTTATACCTTTTTTTAGACTGTCCCAGGCAGGTTCTTAGTGATATTCTCTATCTCTCTTTCTCTCTTTCTCTCTCTCTCTCTCTCTCTCTCTCTATATATATATATATATGTATCTATGTATGTGTGTGTATATTTGATGTTTTGTTTGAATGTTGTGGGAGAGAGCATAAAATATATGTGTATGTATAATTTTAACTGTTATGAACGGGGAAGAAATTTGCTTTCAAAATCCTATTTACATAATTAAGTTTAATGTTGACTATTCTTAAAAATGCCTTTAAGGAAATTAGAACTGTATGAGAGGTTTGGATTTGTTTGATCCGTATTGTTGGGGGGCGGGGAGGGGAGTGTGCTGTAAGGAGAAAAGTTCTTTTCACAGAGGGTAGAGAAATACAGTGAGATAACTTACATGGATTGTTTTTTAAAGAGATTTAGTATCACTCTGACAATAGTTTTTAATATCTCATAGGTTGGGGAGTTAAAAACAGAAATTAGGAAACAAACTGAAAAATAACTAAATTTCATAGTTTATCTTCTGATTTTTTTGGAGTTTTATGAAATATTGGAACACTGAGCCTTGTGAAAAGATTTAAAAAGTTAAAGAAAATAATTTGAGGGGTCATGAATATGACTTATAGTAGCAGAACACATGTTTAGTATGTGATATGCTCTGAGTTTGATCCCCAGCAACTTACGACACTTTCTCAGAACCAGATTGTCCTGGTATCCTCCCAGTGCTGCCCAGACCTGAATCCTGAGCCCTGAAATCTCAGATCTACACTGTTGGGTCAAGTATTATTGTGAATAGCCTCCAGAACCCTTAGCACCTCAGGGTTCTAAAAAAGAATTCACATTCTAAGTTCTTTTTGTTAACTAAAGGATCTGTTGTTCAGCTATCCATGATTTCATATGTCATTTACTAAAAATACCTGATCACTCATTTTAATTCCAACGTAAACATCATCTAACACATCAGAATTTAATTAGATATTTAACTCAATTGGAAAATCAAAAAGTATCAACCTTTTGAAATTGCTGATACCTCTTTGTACCGTTTTTTACCTACTAGTATTCTAAATATGTGTGCTACTGGGAAAAGTTAAAACACTTTATTGCTAGAATCTGAGTGTTTAAATAAATGAGCTCTGCAGTTCTTTACTTTGTGATAGGCATAGAATTTGGTTTAGATCCATGTACCTTTCATATGGCTTTTATTTGTAAGAAATGGAAATTGTCTTTTATTATATAGTATACTACTTTAATATGATGAATGTTTTTGCCAGATTCTGTAAGATACAAATTGATCCTCTCCAGTGTGTTTAATTTAGTTCTGTGAAATATGCCTGGAGTTTTGAAAGTTATTAAGTGACAAACTGAGGGAGAAGGAGATCTGTTGGGTGAATTGTAGCTATAGGATGTTGGTGCTATTGGCCACATTCGGCATGTTATTTAGTGTTTTGTTTTTTATGAGGGGGCTACATCCAGTGGTGCTCAGGGCTTACTCCTGTCAATGTGCTCAGGGATCACTCCTTGTAGGGCTCAGGGAATCATAAGGGGTGCCGGGGGTCAAACCTGGTTAGACCAGTTGCAAGGCAACCTTCCCTGCATTACCTGCTAAACTGTCGATCTGGCCCCTCATTACTTACTATATGTCATTGTAGCAAATTATTTTTTACTTCCATTATCTTCTTTAACCTTCTAAGCAACTATGAGGTGAATATATTAATTTTGCAAGGAGGAAACAGACTGAGGGAAGTACCTGAAGGATATTGTGCTAATAAGCATCATCAACCAACATCTGAATTCTTAATTCTTAAACATCATTTGGCGAAAAAAAAAATAGAGAGGGAAAACTGGGACATTGGTGGAAGGAACTAGACACTGGTGATGGGATTTGTGTTGGAACATTGAATGGCTGAAACTCAATCATGAATAACACTGTGACTTTGGTGATTAAATTAAACATTCTAGGGAAAAAAGGAAGAAATTACCATCTGGGTCCAATAAAGAAGTGTGGAGAGGAAGATAGTTCAACTCTCCGATGTGCGTGCTTTGTATACGGGATTTCTGGTTTGTCTTTTTTTTAATCCCTGACAGGACTATTGCATAGTCCCTAAGTACTTCCAGGAGCAACCACTGAGTGCCACTAGGTATAGCCCAGAAGCAAAAAGGTGTGTGTGCAGATTTGAATACACTCTTCTGCAAAATGGACATATAGGTGGGCAATGAGAAAAAAGAAATAAAAAAGACCCAAACCCAACAATGCATAATTGACTTTTTGTAAAAGAAATGCCAGTTTGAAACATTTGACTGATGGAGTACAGTACTTAAACATACAGAACAGAACAACAGTACAGAGGGATGGTTGACTGCTTAAATATGGCTGACCTGGGGCTGGAGTGATAGCACAGGGGGTAGGGCATTTGCCTTGCACGCGGCCGACCCGGGTTTGATTCTCAGCATCCCATATGGTCCCCTGAGCACCACCAGGAGTAATTCCTGGGTGCAGAGCCAGTAGTAACTCCTGAGCATCGCCGGGTGTGACCCAAAAAGCAAAAAACAAACAAACAAACAAAAAACATGGCTGACCTGAATTGGGTCCCTGGCACCCCATATGGTTCTCCACGCACCACCAGGAGTGTTCCCTGAGCCAGAGGTAAGCTAAGAAAACAAAACATACTATCAACTAAGCATTGCTATAATCATGTTACTTTAACTGGAATAGAAATTTTTTAAAAGCTACAATGAGATATCACCTCACATTGGAGAATGGCCTTTATCAAAAAGAGTAAAAATGATGGGCTAGAGAGAGAGTAAAGCACTTGACTTGAACACAGTTGACTTGTGTTCTATCCCTGATACTTACTACC